CTGCAAGCTACAGATACTAATCCCACATGATTTCTAAATCAGAGGTAAGAGACAAATGACCATTAGACACAAGGTCTGGAATCAATTTTCATGGACAAATTTCCTCCTCACAGGAGAATCAAACCAGCGACCACTGGATTAAAACATCCATGCTTTCTCTATTGAGCTAAGCAGACTAACTGCTTTAAGATATAAAATAAACAATCATTATGACAGTAAAGAATACAACAGAAAAAAAAAAAAAAAAAAAAAAAAAATTATCAAAATACCCAAAAGTCAAGTTTCTTACTATCTATGACAATGGTTGTATTCATCACATTATTGCTATAAAATAGATACAAGGTAAAATCTGTATGTATAACATAGTGATGATTTGCCATTTTTTCTGCTGTATACACTATGTTTGGATATGGAAAATCCCAATGCAGTAATCTTTACATCTCTTATCAATATACTATCAAATCATTTTCTTAAAAAGTTCTATACAATTCTTAATATGGTTTAACAAACTATTTACATAAATTCTGATCATTTTGTAAAAAAATGACAGATATTCATAACAAAAGAGAATATAACCATATATAAAACAATGTTAACCAAGCACAGACATAATACATTTTGATATCTTCTTGTATCACAGAAAAAATAGCACTTTCTTTTATTAATAAATAAACACATACATTATCAGCTCATAACCAAAAACAAGGTCTGGTATAACAACAAGTTAAATTCTGATCATTAAGTAAAAAAAAAAGACAGATATTCATAGTAAAAGAGAATATTACCAGCACAGAGAGCACATACTTTGATGTCTTTGTGTATCAAAGATAAAATAGCACTGTCTTTTATTAATAAATAAACACATACATTATCGGCTCATAACCAAAAACATGGTCTGATATTACAACCAGTGTCACAAACATTTTTCCGGTTGGATTTATGTCGCACCAACACAGTAAAGGTCATATGGTGACATGAAAGGATCAAAAGTCCCGGGTAGGATTCGAACCTACAGCTGTAAGAGGTAAATGACTTAACCACTCAGCAACAGACCACTCACAACTTAAAATATGGCACTTTATGATTATCAGTAAATAATAAACATTATAGGTAAAATGTATTACTGTAAACACTGTTTACATTAATCAAGGTTACACTTATAACTTCAAGTAACACACTTTACCTTGTATGTTATTACTTTCTTTTAAGCTATAATATCAAATTAAACAGTCTAAAAAGTTATAAAAAATATATTTCAATTAACAACCTCAGTCAAACTACTTTAGTCTAATCTTAAATAAAAGCATGCATTGTGTTATTATGGAAACAATGCTTATTCTTGTAATACTAACAGTCATGTTAAACATAAAGTATTCTTAATGCTCAACTTTATAAATCAATAACATAAACATTTTTTTAAACTTAAAGACACAATTGAAGTTTACAAGTCAAAAATACATAATTTCTGGGAACAGTTGTTAAACATAAATAAATAATAAGAGCACTATATTATAGTGAACTAACATTTATATCACATTTTTTCAATATCACAGTCATGTGTTTGGAATAAAATCTAAATAAATATGTTTTAGTTTCTTGGTTTTAGCATATTGCTATATCACAGTATTCATCACAATTTTTAAACTGCAGGACTACTGCAGTCAAGGCTATTTTTGCATATTTTGACCTCATTTTGGTGATTAATATGGAATGTAAATGCCATTTGCAAAATGTAAATAACTTCCTTTGTACACTTCACAATATTTTTACTTTTAAAAACATTTTCAAAATTTACATGAGGAAAAGCATGAACCTAAAGGCATGCTGCCATAAGTTAATATCTAATCTCAATTTGTGAGTATTTTTAACTCATCTTAAAAAAAATCAGATAAAGAATGTTATTTCCATGATTAAAAATTGATTTTAATTCATGTCCTGATGCCTTAAAAACAACCCCCCATAAAAAAAAACAACCTCAAAAAAAGCTGTAATAAAAAAAAGATATAAAAAAGAGGTAAGTGGTTTAAAGTCAACAACTTCACCACTAAGCCACAGACCACTCACAACTTAAAATATGGCACTTTATCATTATCAGTAAATAATATACATTTTAGGTAAAACGTATTACTGTAAAACACTGTGTACATTAATCAAGGTTACACTTATAACTTCAAGTAAAACACTTTACCTTGTATGTTATTACTTTCTCTTATGCTATAATATCAAATTTAACAATCTAAAAAGTTATGAAAAAACATTTCAATTAACAAACTCAGTCAAACTGTTTTAGTCTAATCTTAAATGAAAGCATGCATTGTGTTATTATGGAAACAATGCTTATTTTTGTAATACTAACAGTTATGTTAAACATAAAGTATTCTTAATGCTCAACTTTATAAATCAATAACAAAAACACTTTATTTAAAACTTACAGACACAATTGAAGTTTACAAGTCAACAATACATAATTTCTGGGAACAGTTGTTAAATATAAATAAATTAAAAGAGCACTATATTATAGTGAACTAACACTTGTAGCACATTTTTTTCAATATCACAGTAATATGTTTGGAATAAAATCTTTAAAAAAAATATTAGTTTTAGTTTCTTGGTTTTAGCATATTGCTATATCACAGTATTCATCACAATTTTTCTACTGCAGGACTAATGCAATCAAGGCTATTTTTGCATATTTTGACCTCATTTTGGTGATTAATATGGAATGTAAACGCTGTTTGCAAAATGTAAATAACTTCCTTTGTTCACTTCATAATATTTTTACTTTTAAATATATTTTCAAAATTTACATGAGGAAAAAGCATGTACATAAAGGCATGCTGCCATAAGCTAATATCTAATCTCAATTTGTGAGTATTTTTTACTCATCTTAAAAATATCAGATAAAGAATGTTATTTCCATGATTAAAAATTGATTTTAATTTATGTCCTGATTCCTAACAAGAGGGCCATGATGGCCCTGAGGTCGCTCACCTGTATATAGGCCCCCGGAGCAGGGCCAGTTTAAACCCCAGGGCTTTTATTTGAACAAACTTGGTAGACACCCACAAAAAGATGTTTCCAGCTTAACAATCTTACCTCTAGCTCATTGGGTTTTTTAAAAGAAGATTTTTTAAGATTTTACTATACACATATAGTTAAAAACAATGACACCTCTGGGGAGGGGCCAGTTTTAACCCCAGGGCTTTTATTTGAACAAACTTTGTTGACACTTACTAGAAGATGTTTGATGCTTAATATCTAAACTCTAGCTATTTGGGTTTTTTCAAAGAAGATTTTTAAGTTTTTGCCATACATTATATAAGGAAAAACAATGACCCCCGGGGTGGGGCCAATTTTCACCCAAGGGCTTTTATTTGAACAAACTTTGTAGACACCAATTAGAACATGTTTAATGCTAAATATCTTAGCTCTAGCTCTTTGGGTTCTTTAAAAGAAGATTTTTTAAGTTTTTACTATATGCATTTAGGGAAAATCAATGACCCCCTGGGGCGGGGCCAATTTTGACCCAAGGACTTTTATTTGAAAAAACTTGGTAGACACTTATTAGAAGATGTTACATGCTAAATATCTTAGCTCTAGCTCTATGGGTTCTTTAAAAGAAGATTTTTTAAGTTTTTACTATATGCATATAGGAAAAATCAATGACCCCCTGGGGCGGAGCCAATTTTGACCCCAGGGCTTTTATTTGAACAAACTTGGTAGACACTCACTAGAAGACGTTTCATGCCAAATATCTAAGCTCTAGCTCTTTGCATTTTTTAAAAGAAAATATTTTAAGTTTTTTTGTTCGGTTGCCATGGCAACCAGAGTTCTGCATGGAATTAAATTCTTTGAACAATATTTAAAGGTGACCACCAAAGGAACATTCCTGTGAAGTTTGGATGAAATTGGCTTAGTGGTTTATGAGGAGATATCATTTAAAGTAAAAGTTTACGGACGGACAACAGACGGACGGAAGCCGGACGAAAAGCGATCACAAAAGCTCACCCTGTCACTTTGTGAGAGGTGAGCTAAAAAAACAAAAAAAACAGCTGTAATAAAAAAAAGATCTGAGTAAAAAATCTGCTATAAACATAGATCATTACAATGTTTGCATAACTTTGGTAATGTGAATCTTTATAACTGTAACCAATCACTTAAATAACTTATAACCTAGTTTACAAGTTAACAAAATAAATTGCCCTTCCCCTATCATTATGAATATTCTCAAGTTTATCCATTTTCCTATAGATAGGCTTTTCTTTACGTTAAAATACACAAGCCATACAATCATGCTATCAGAAGTTACAATTAAATCATGTTTGTGAATAATTTCCTTTATTATTTATGTATACAATATAATCTGTCTTCTTTTTCTCAATCCTTTAAAGTTTTGTTCCCCTTGTAGAAGTGCTTAATTCAAATTCTCTTCATTCTCTTTAGGAAATGTCCAAAATATTCTACTCTTAAACTTCTCATCTTCTAAATTATCACACAAACTAACGCCTTGGTGACTCGCCCATGACTCTGAGCATCCCAATAATATTTCCATATGTGATGAAGTCTGAAAATAAAACAAATTTAATATGATTGTTCTATAATGTTTTAAAAACATCAGACATACCAAATAAAGCATATTATTTCAAAGTATATATAGAGGATAAGGGCTTTAATGAGTCTAAACAACAGAAATAATCCTGAAATGCTTATGCATTCAATTTAAAAATCAGATTTAGTTTTTTAACAAGGAACATGGCAGTACCATGAAAGAATATATTCAACAAGAGGCATCATAAATGGGGCTGCACCTTCAGTATTTTATGCTTTATTGGGTTAAGTTAATTCAAAATCAAGGTCATACATGTATTTGAATTACTCAGTATGATGGTTATGTCCATTTTGTCAAAGTATGAATCAAATCCCTCAATAAATAGCAAGTTAAATGTTGATGCTGCACATCAAAGAAGCCCCAAAATAATCCATTGGGGTTAAAACAATTACCAAAATCCACCTAGTCTAAAGCAGGGCTGTCATTAACATTTTTTGCAGAAGGTTTGTTTTTAACTTGAGGCGGTCATTTCTGTCTTTATCATGCATAACAAAGAGTGTTTTCTTAATTTTGAGGCGGCCCATAATGCATTTGAGACAGGCATTTTGGCCTCCTGCCGCCTCTTAATGACAACCCTGCTAAAGTGTCTAGAAATACTCCCTGACTGGCCGAGGCATAATTAAATGTTTGTACACTAGATTTAAAATTTTCAATTTAACCCCTTTTTTATTATTTTTAAAATACAAGTTTACACTTATCCGTGTTTGTTGTAAAACATGTTCTATATATCGTCGATACAATGACTCCTAAATATAAGGAGGCATCACTCAATGAACAAGAGCTGTCACAGGAGACAGCGAAGCTCTACTAATGAAATACTGGACGCAGTAAGGAGGACAAAACTATGAAAGAAAAATCAATTATGTATTAAGTTATAGTAAAAAATTAATATTTGTTAACATAAATTCCAAGATCAAGGGGAATAATTCTAGAAATAGTCATGCTAGAGTTATGGACCTTGTCACACAACATTTGTGTAATGATAAGAAATATATATTTGAAGTTTGAAGTAGATACCTTAAAAAGAAAAGAAGTTATTATATTTCTTAAAGAAAATCCTAAGTTCAAAGAGAGATAAATCTGTTAATATTGCATCAAGAGTTATGAACAATGTCACATAAAATGTAATTGTTGATAAGGAATAAGTATTTGAAATTTGAGGTAAATACCTTTAAAAATAAAAAAGTTATAATAAAAAATAACATTTTTCTAGTAAAAAAATCTAAGTTTATGGGGAGATAATTCTTGCAATATTGGTGCTAGAGTTATGAACCTTGTCACATAAGATGTGGATGATGATAACGTAAACATATTTGAAGTATAAAGTTGATCCCTTTAAAAATAAATAAATAACAGAAAAAAAAATATTTTTTATGAAATATTCTAAGTTCAAAGGGAGATAAATCTGAAAATATTGGTGCTAGAGTTATGAACCTTGTCACATAAGATGGGGATGATGATAATGTAAATACATTTGAAGTATGAGGTTGATCCCTAATTAAGAAATAAAGAAGAAACAGTAAGAAATAGTACTTTTTGAGGAAAATTCTAAGTTCAAGGGGAGATAAATCTGAAACTATTGGTGCTGGAGTTATGAACCTTGTCACATAAGATGGGGATGATGATAATGTAAATACATTTGAAGTATGAGGTTGATCCCTTAAGAAATAAAGAAGAAACAGTAAGAAATAGTACTTTTTGAGGAAAATTCTAAGTTCAAGGGGAGATAAATCTGAAACTATTGGTGCTAGAGTTATGAACCTTGTCACATAAGATGGGGATGATAAGGTACATATATTTGAAGTATGAGGTTGATCCCTTAAGAAATAAGGAAGTAACACTAAAAAATAGTATTTTTTAAGGAAAATTCTAAGTTCAAAGGGAGATAAATCTGAAAATATTGGTGCTAGAGTTATGAACCTTGTCACATATGATTTGGTTGATGATAAGGAACATATATTTGAAGTTTGAAGTTGATACCTTAAGAAATGACAAAGTTATAGTGAAAAATATTTTACTGCACCAAAACTTTAATCTAAAATCTGGACGCGGACGCCGACGCCGGGGCGAGTAGGACAGCTCTCCATATACTTCGTATAGTCGAGCTAAAAATGCATTACGATTGAAAATGCATTACGGTAAGTAAACGAATTACACTGATAATACCCTAATTTTCTCAACCGCAACTTTTCGGCCCTTTCTGTTGATATTGATAATAGCCAAGGATATTCCACTCGATAATTTCCTGCTTTAGAATATAGACTGGCTCATTGGCACGTTATTCTAATGGTAAATAATCAAAAAAGATAACAAGAGGGCCATGATGGCCCTGAGGTCGCTCACCTGTATATAGGCCCCCACAACCCCCAACCCCACCCCCAACGTTGCAGGGCCAATTTAACCCAAGGGCTTTTATTTGCACAAACTTGGTAGACACCCATAAGAAGATGTTTCATGCTAAACATCTAAGCTCTAGCTCATTGGGCTTTTTAAAAGAAGATTTGTTTAAAGTTTTTACGATACACATATAGTTAAAATCAATGACACCCCCAGGGCCGGGCCAGTTTTGACCCCAGGGCTTTTATTTGAACAAACTTGGTAGACACTTACTAGAAGATGTTTCATGCTTAATATCTAAACTCTAGCTTTTTAGGTTTTTTCAAAAAAGATTTTAAGTTTTTGCTATATGCATTATAGGGAAAATCAATGACCCCCCGGGCGGGGCCAATTTTGACCCCAGGGCTTTTATTTGAACAAACTTGGTAGACACTTATTAGAACATGTTTCATGCTAAATATCTTAGCTCTAACTCTTTTGGTTCTTTAAAAGAAGATTTTTTAAGTTTTTACTATATGCATACAAGGAAAAATCAATGACCCCCTGGGGCGGGGCCAATTTTGACCCCAGGGCTTTTATTTGAACAAACTTGGTAGACACCTATTAGAACATGTTTGATGCTCAATATCTTAGCCATAGCTCTTTGAGTTCTTTAAAAGAAGATTTTTTAAGTTTTTACTATATGCATATAGGGAAAATCAATGACCCCCCGGGGCGGGGCCAATTTTGACCCCAGGGCTTTTATTTGAACAAACTTGGTAGACACCAATTAGAACATGTTTCATGCTAAATATCTTAGCTCTAGCTCTTTGGGTTCTTTAAAAGAAGATTTTTTAAGTTTTTACTATATGCATATAGGGAAAATCAATGACCCCCCGGGGCGGGGCCAATTTTGACCCCAGGGCTTTTATTTGAACAAACTTGGTAGACACTCACTAGAAGATGTTTCATGCCAAATATCTAAGCTCTAGCTCTTAAGGTTTTTTAAAAGAAGATATTTAAAGTTTTTTCTTTTGGTTGCCATGGCAACCAGAGTTCTGCATGGAATTAAATTCTTTGAACAATTTTTAAAGGTGACCACCAAAGGAACATTCCTGTGAAGTTTGAATGAAATTGGCTTAGTGGTTTATGAGGAGATGTCATTTAAAGTAAAAGTTTACGGACGGACGGACGACGGACGGACGACGGACGGACGGACGCCGGACGAAAAGCGATCACAAAAGCTCACCCTGTCACTTTGTGACAGGTGAGCTAAAAAAAAGAATGTTATATTTAAACAGTCATGGAAGTATCACTTTTGTTAAACGTCTCTTTAATTCCATGACGCTAGGGGACATGTTGATCATCAGAAAAGATATTTTTATCTGAAAATCTGAAAATGTGTAATTTTTGTTAGAACAAAAACAATTAACAACAAGAGGGCCATGATGGTCCTGAGGTCCCTCACCTGTATATAGGCCCCCGGGGCGGGGCCAGTTTAAACCCCACGGCTTTGATTTGAACAAACTTGGAAGACACCCATTAGAAGATGTTTCATGATGTTAAGTTTTTACTACACACATATAATGAAAAACAATGACCTTCCCTCTGCCCCCTCACCCCCCCCCCCCCAAGAAGGCCAATTTTAAACCCAAGGGTTTTTAATTGAACAAACTTGGTTGACACCCATAAGAAGATGTTTCATGCTAACATCTAAGCTCTAGCTCATTGGGTTTTTTAAAAGAAGATTTTTTAAGTTTTTACTACACACATAATTAGTTAAAAACAATGACACCCCTGGAGCGGGGCCAGTTTTGACCCCAGGGCTTTTATTTGAACAAACTTTGTAGATACTTACTAGAAGTTGTTTCATGCTTAATATCTAAACTCTAGCTATTTGGGTTTTTTCAAAGAAGATTTTTAAGTTTTTGCTATACACATATAAGGAAAATCAATGACCCCCGGGGCGGGGCCAATTTTGACCCCAGGGCTTTTATTTGAACAAACTTTGTAGACACTCACTAGAAGATGTTTCATGCTTAATATCTTAACTCTAGCTATTTGGGTTTTTTTCAAAGAAGATTTTTAAGTTTTTGCTATACACATGTAAGGAAAATCAATGACCCCCGGGGCAGGGCCAATTTTGACCTCTGGCCCCGTGTTCACAAAGAAAAGATCAGGATCAAGATCAAGTGATCCTGATTTTATTTTCATTGTTTTATGTTACTAAAATTGATTGTGTTTAGCTAGAATTAAAAAGTAAATATTCAAAATGTAAAAAATTGCTGATTTGCCAAGAAATCAACTATTTTTGGATAAAATTAACAAATAACAAAACAAATACAAAAATATTCGGATCAAAATAAGGATCAATTTTAGGATCAGGATCAATATTTGGATCAACTGTAAAATGCCCGTATCTTGTAAAAATAACAATAAATTTATTCTAAAATTTCATTAATTTGCTATTGCAAGTCCAGTTTTATCAAATTAATATTAAATATTTAATCTATGAGGATAAAAATGAAAAATATTAAGAGTTTTTCATTACCTAGGTTACTATATAGCGGGAGGTTTCCACATAAGCTATACACCAAGTTTAATTACAATATTAAATTCCAAACTTAGTTATTGACTGGATTAAAAAGCAGTGACATAGGGTTTCCAAAATTCATCCCAAGCAAGGTCTCTATATAAGCTTGCTATTTTCAATACTTCATTCCTTTTGAGTAACAATACAATAATACAATCAAAGGGCTGCAAGCTCTGTGGTATTTTCTGATCTTTGCAATCTAAATGGTACTTTATATCTGTATTTGTTTTCCTGTATAAGTTTATTTTTGGCGTCCTCGGCGCGGCGCCTCTTTTGGAATGAGAAAGGGCGACAGCAACTTCTTGAGCCTTTTAGTCGGACATAATAAAAGCTGTTCATTCCGACCAGTATGAGGGTGCTTGATTCCCTGTGGTCTGGAGACCACAGGGTATTGGTAAGCGTTTAACTTTTGAGGCATGGAGGAGCACGTGACCTGTTTTCGGTACATGGAGGAGCATGTGATCTGTAAACCGTACATGATTGGTTAATTGACCTTTTCGGAAACCTGGATAAATATCGTTTGCTGGTACGTTACGGATAATCCTCTAGGGAATTAGACACCTAATTAAGAACAAAAAACTATTACGTGATATTTTTAATTTTCTATAATTATGTTACCGTTTAAGGTGGAAAAACTTGAATGATGTGTTTGAAAATTATCAATGTTTCTTTAATATGTATCTCAAAATATTACAAACAATAAATGTTTATACTGAAAATCTACAAAATTAAAATATTCGTAGTGGCATCTGCCATCATAAATACTTGTGTGTTTACTCTATTATTTTTTTTTGCTCGGAATTATTCATAAAATGGTAGGCCTATTTAATTATTTTCTTAAGAAAGAAATAATTGTTTTATGTTCAATCTTCTCCGGTCATCAACGGTCACCAGTTTCCAAAGACCTTCTTCTATATTAATCGATTACTGTCAAATATATTCCTGATACAAACGTTTATTTATCCTCGCCCCCCCCCCCCCCCCTGAAAATAGTTAAATGAAATATATTTATATCATTAAAAACGTTCCCCGCAGGAAACCATTTTACTTGTTATTAATTAAAAATGAAATGTCGCGATATATACAATGAATAGCGAACTGGAGAATTTCGCAATGCAAACATTTTCAAATGAAATAACCTTTTCCGTCAATAAATCGCGCTCTTCGGGGTATTTTTATTTATCATTTTGTAGTACACAGTGGGTTATTATGGTTCATGTATCCGAAAGCTGAATAGAATGATGAGTTGGTGACCTATATATTCCGAAAATCTATTTATAGAGGGATGTATTCCTATCGGTAATTCCCGGTCTCTCCTGGTCTATTTTGACCGGAATTTACTAGTGACCGGCGAATAGTACCACACGTTTATGGTCCGGTCTCTCCCCGTTTTCGAGTAGATGTTTGATATCGTTACAGAACAGAACAAATATTTACAGTTATATAAATTTTTTTTAAAATGAATGTTTGTCACTTAGTTTGGTTACAATAATTAATAAACACAGATCAACTCTCAAATTTATTGATTATTATTATACATAAACATACAATTCGAAAAAAAACAAACCCAACAACAGCAATAACATGTTTTATAAAACATGATAAAACACTGATACGTTTGTATCAGATAAAAACAATAAATATGTACAATAATTGAGAAAAAGGTACATTTTTATGGTATTAATATGACACTATCAACTTTGAAACATTTTATTTAATTTGTTATTCGTGTTTAGTAAAGATGCCGAGGAATTATTCAAAGTTACAAATTAGATTTTATGAATTATTCAATTGATTGATAATTTAAAAAATGATAAAGAAAAATACAAATGTACATGTATATGTTTTAAGAATAAACAATATTATATATTAAAAGTTTAACCATAATTTACTGACTTTTTCCAGTTAAGTTTTTACTTAATATAATCGTCGGTCAATATGACAATTGAATTCTTAAAATAGTAGTAAACGTAAAAACTCAGTATTAAAATAGCACATAAAACACAAAAAAGAAAAGAAAACAATATTCATAAAATCTGTATTTTTTATTACAATTATTGTATAATAAACAATTATGCTCAACATGATCAACATGGTAATGTAACCAGTGTCATATTGTTAGTAAGTGTGAACAGATACCTTTAGAGGGGGTCTTCGCTAATAGCGATAACATAATAAGGGACAAGTGTGGTGTTGATCATGCATTACACATATGGATTATAAATGATTGTATACATGTATATCCGTTGCTAAAAAATCATTTATGCTCATTTTTTATGATAGCCACACTTTATCCTTGCATATCGTGGCTATTTCCAACAAAGACACTAAAAAAAGAATTTAAAAAAATGTTGACTCGACTGGGATTTGAACTCCAGACCTCTCACACGTGAAACGAGCGCGTTACCCCTGCACCACAGAGAAGTTATAAAAACAGTGGCTGAATAAAATCAAGTCATTCGTAATTTATAATTTCCATTGCATTTCGGGTTAGGGTAATTTCGAGGTATTTTGTTCAGGGTAAACCTATTGTTTAAAATTGAAGTAAATAATTTAGCAAAAATCTTCTCACCCAAACAGTCCAACATGTAGAAACTATATATTCAACTACTCGACAGTCAGATTTATTTGTGTAGTATTCGGTCATCGATATCGCTAAAAACAGCATTTTCATTGATTAAAATCATATTCATCCGCGTAATTTGTGAGTGTGCATTTATTGACAATTCTATAAGCCAACGCTACTTTTAAAGTTTGAATGTGTAGTAATTTGTTGGACACTTGTAACAAAAAATTGTTCTTTCTTTTAAATTGCTGGTTTTTAAGCAGTTTTGAGTGAGAACTAATTTGCGTTGTTAGGACTGTTAGGAAATTTTGTGTTAGACCGTGGATGTTAGCTATGTATTTATCTGATCTTGCGATCAGAAAATACAAAAACTTAATTTTAGTTTTACCTCTGTTGACAATAAGACGTTCCACAGCACCATATATTTGCCGATGTGTATAACCGTCTGCTGCTGCCGCCAATCCAGCACTTGATCTAACAAACTCATCTATGACATGTGGCAACTGAAGAAAACAATAAACATTTACAATACTGCACATTTGTAGGTAATAGTAAGTTTTATATGGTTTTATATACACAGCAGAGCTGCTCTTAATTTATAAAGAGATAAATTTTTTTCTTTAAAAAAGGAAGTTTAGATTTTTAACAGGTTAATGGTCATATAATATAAATGGCTCTTTGAACAAAGAACCATTTATATGGGGCCATTTAAACTGTCAAAAAATCTCAATAACTAATAATGTATCATTTCTAAAGATTATAAAGCTATAACTCATGGAAAATCTTAAATATTTATAAAACTCATAAATGGTAAATTTATTTTGTTTTATTTTTTGCATAACCTTCTGGTTTATCCTCACAAGAGTTCTAAGATAAAATGTCTTTGACATTTAACAAACATGAATATTGCATTTGTTCTGGAACAAAATATTATGCTATATTTCTAGTAGGTTTTTTACCTTTTAGCAATATTTTTTGCATGCACCATTATTCAATCACGAATACAAAAATGCAAATACAGTAGAACTTCTGAGTCGAACTTCGATTAGTCGATTTTCTCAATGTGTCGAAGTAAAATGAAAGTCCCGATTTTTTCCCTTATATATTCCTTATAAAAACCTATTTATGAGTCAAGATTTTATGTGTCGATTTTTTCGATGTGTCGGAGTTTTTTCGTGGTCCGTATACGGTATAGAATAAATCTAGTATAATTTACCATAAATATGTCGAAGTCCTTCGATTATATTGACAACTTCGATCTCAAGACATTTTTCACACCTTTTCTAGCCGCGAAGACGATTTCCGATCAACTTTAGTGACAGGTGTTAATTACACAGCCCAGTTTTGAACAAACACTCTTTGTATGCGTTTAAATGTGTGAAAAAATGCTATAATCCTGACTATTTTAATTGCCGTAGCGGTATTTGAAAGTACATGTAAACAGCAAGAACTATCCTATTACCCGGTGTCGCGTGATAATCACACACGAAATATTTACTATAAACTGGTTTAGTTATTGCCCTTTCGTATTGTTACGCGGTTTGTAACTTCATTCTTTACATCAACAGGTAGTCCAAATCAATTTAGCTGTGAAAAGTAACTTAACATGTCGTATTTATCATTGTATAATGTAAAATATTAGATTAATGAATGAAAGAAAAACTTGAAATAGGTTACGTTATAGATCTTATAATTAGGGCTAGTCACGGGTTGAAATATTGTCATGAAATTCAGACCGATTCATGAGTCGAAGTCCCGATGTGTCGAAGTTTTTACGCAAGTCCCTCCAACTTCGACTTACCGAAGTTCTACTGTACATGCATATTTCTTTCATAAAGGTATTTTGCAATTTTTACTCTGTTTTCAAAATTGCTCCCCTTACCAATCAATCTCATCCGAGCAATGTCTTAGACAAGCATCCTGACCAAGTTTGAAGACAATTGAGTAAAAACTGTGACCTCTCGAGTGTTAGCAAGGTTTATCCATATTTGGGCAGTGTGACCAGGTTTTTGACCCCAGGTGACCCATATTTTAACTTTACCTAGAAATCATCAAAACGATCTTTCTGATCAATTTCCAGAATATTTGGATCAAAACTACAGCCACTGGAGTGTTAACAAGATTTTTCTACTTTTAGCTCCTGTGACTTAGTTTTTGACAGGAAACGACCCAGACACAATTTAGAGGAGAAAAAAATATTTTGCCATATCAATTAACTACCACAACTTAAATAAAATTGCTACACTATTTATCAGATTAAGTATTAAATCAACATAAATTAAATCTAAATGATAAAATATTAGAATATATTGTATTTAAAATAAATTGAAAATAAATTAAGCAACAGCACAGAAAACTATTTACACGGCTTATTGACAAATAATATCATACTTTTTCTGTAGAATTGATATTTTCTTCTGATCTGGGTTCAGGTAACTGTCTTTCAACATCAACACGAGTGTTGTCCTCCTCTCCAACATGCGCATCACTATTGCTAGGTAACTCTCCTCTTATAATTTCTTCTCCAGCCCCAGTTCCTATTCCTAATCCATTTAGGGGTTGCTCATTGATTTCCTCCATCTGTTGCTGTGACTCCCCCTCAGCCATGTGACTTGACTGAGGGGTAGGATTGATATAACTCCTTGGTATTACAGCTGAGACATTTGTTCTACTGGCAGGTACAACCAGTTCATTAGGTACATCAGGCGGTGTTGAAGGGTTAGCTTGAGCTTGGTCAACAGTTGAAAGTGATACAGCTGGGACGTTTCTTCTAGTTACAGACCGTCTATCACTAGATATTCGTCCTTGTTGAACAATCACTGCCCGTCCATCCCTAGATATTGGTCCTTGTTGAACAGTCACAGACCGTCCATCCCTAGGTATTGGTCCTTGATGAACAATCACTGACCGTCCATCCCTAGGTATTGGTCCTTGTTGAACAATCACTGACCGTCCATCCCTAGGTATTGGTCCTTGTTGAACAATCACTGACCGTCCATCACTAGGTATTGGTCCTTGTTGAACAATCACAGCTGGAGTAAGATCAGGTTGTGGTAGTCCAGGTGATGCTGCTTGAGGAAGACACCTCCCAGAAGGCACTATTTCTTGAACGTGATCAGTAATCCATCTAGCCACTGTACTATTATACCTTGTTCCCTGTGTATGATGCGAGCTTCCAGAAGGCACTAAGTTAATACTTGAGGCCATTAGATCTACTAAATTCAACTGATTACCGTAATTTTGCAATAGTGTATTACGTCTTCTTCTTCGCATACACTGCCTACAATGATTGTCAAGGAAAGTGATAAGCTCATCATGGGATTGTGACAGAAAAAGGTAATTTGGTATCATACTGTCACAGAAAACACAAGACACAATCCCACTACTATCACCAAAAAATCCATCTCTAGCTAGCCGTATTGTAATAGGATGTTCAGACTCAATGTTTGCACTTCTGAGACTAAGAAGTCTGTAGACCTCATACATCATACACCAAGGACTTGCCAACACATGACCATTATATCTATATGGACACACGCATAACACTGGTTTCTCTGGTCTGAAATGATCTAGATAAATAACAGTTTTTTGGTATTTTAGAAAATGTTCATAATCTAAGAAGTTTAACTGCTTTCTAAAGAAACATTTTGAATTTAACTTTAACCAAGATTTTTCTTGTGGTGTTATCATCTTCAAACCAGGAGAATCCTTAACAGATGTTTTTAATTCATTCAAATTGCTCTGGTTTCTAGCTTCTGCACACATTTTTTTATTTATTTTTTCAGTTAATTCATTCAAGTTGCTTTGTATATTCTCTATAGTTTTTATAACTTGATCTTCTACATCTTCTTCAATGATTTTTAACTGCTCCATGGATTCTTCAGTGTCTGGGTGTTCCAAACATACAGTAGGCTGATCTAGGGAAGAATTTTTCTCAGTATCCTCGTCTAAAAGTGCTTCCAAAGTATCCTCCTGTTGATATTTTTGAAACTGCATACACAAAGTTTCATCAGATTCAGGTTCCATCTCTGATTCAGGTTCCATCTCTGTATCTCCAAGTTTAACTTTTCCTTTAACATGATCTGCAATAAAATTATTACCACTACATATGGAGGAAACTTCTACATTTCAATGAATATTTAAGTACAAGAAAAATGAAGAAGACAAGCAATTATCATAGTATTGCAAGCAATCCATAAGTCCCCTACCGGTTAGAACCCCAGCAACATTCTGAAGGGCCATTTGCCATTCACTTATGTTTCTATTTTAAGTAAATTTGTTGAAAAAGTTCTTTAAAAGTGATCACAGGAAACAGTTTTTATGTACAGACAGATGGACTGAAGGACACTCTACAGTTATTTTTTAAACATCCCTGTTATCAAAATATAACATTTTTAAAAAGCAAAATTTTCAAAAAAGAGATAACTCTTGAAATAAAGATGCAAGATGTCATACATGATGTGAGTGTAACAAAGAACAATTAGTAATGAAGGTATGAATAATGAATGTTCATTTTGAATTTGAAGTAAATGAAAGAAAAAAGAACAAAATTAATAAGAAAAATTAAAAGTTTAATTGATTATGACACATAAATGTATTGAAATTTTGTTTGTTTAACATAACAGATTGAAATATTTTGCCCTTTCCAACATGAGTATCTGTGTGGGAAAGGGATTAAGAGAAGAAATGCGGTAAGTACATAAAGTGAACAAAATCTATAGGGGAATGGATTAACTCAAGAATATGCGTAATGACAGGGGAATGGGTAATATGTTGCTGTTTAAAATATCAGATTTGACTGAATGACTAAATAACCCAGCGGACAGTTTGTTTTGTTTTAAGTCTGGCACAGATTTTAGATGGGCCCTTGGCCCTTTGCTATCGACTTTCCTGCACCATTGTCATTTTTTTAGCACCAATAGCCCAAAATCGCGTCTCGGCAGATCTCTGATGTAATAGTGACCTTAGACCCTGTGACCCCAAACGTTCCAATTAAATGAAGTAAGGGGCCATCTTTTTTGTTATTTTCTTTGTTTTAATAGATGGCCATGGCCCATTATTCTACGGCATGTCAACTCTATTGTTCTCTTTTGTTTTGTTTACAGTTACTTGGCCCCCTACTTCTATCAAATGGCACGGACAGACATCCGGAGCGGACGCCAGGGGGTTAAACATAAAATGCCGGAAATTCATTCGGGCATATAAAAAGAGAGGGAAATCAAACATTTGACCTGGCTGGGGATTGTTTGTTTGTTTTGGGTTTTACGTCACATCGACACAGTATAGGTCATATCGCAACGTTCCAGCTTTACTGGTTGAGGAAGACCTCAGGTGCCCTTCCGTGCATTATTTCAGGCCACAAAACGAGATACCTGAGTAAACCACCACCTTCCTTAAGCAGCTGGATAGCTTCCCCAAAAAAAA